CTGCCACACATTTTCCACTTCCAGTCTTCTTGTCAGCCACCACACTGGGTGCGGGTCAATTGACTGACATCCCTTACATGTCTTAACCACCGTTCTAAAATGCTCCTTTGTCACTCGAGGATTGACTTGCTTTACTTGACCTGACCTCTTGCTTACGCAGTACTCAAGTCAACCAGTCAACAAGGTTACACTCTGATGATACCAACGTTACTAGCATTGACAGACCTTACTTTGTGACTAGCTTTTTTGATGTCTCCTAATCAGCATCTCACTCACTGCTTTGGTCCAAATCCTGGCCTTCCCTGTTAATATGTTTGATATCCAGTGGTACACACATAGCAAGTCTGTCCACAGATGCAGCCTCTTGGCCTGCCACTGAAGCACCAGGTTGACACCTTATAAGACGGCATCCAACTTTGCCAAGTTAATGTGTGCTGTGTCATTCATAGGGCATAACCAACACACATCCTCCACTATGGTTTTGTCCTCTTCTAGCAAGATGCCAATCACTAAAGAGCTTGTGTTGACCTAAATGTTCACTTTCTCCCCATCTGCACACCAGACTCCATGAGTGGGGTCATCCTGTCACACTCTTGTCAGGGTCCCCTTTACCATGCATGTAAGGAGGGTATCAGTTGATTCAACGTCATATCCTTAGGTAACCATGCTAGCTCTGTGCTTTATAACAACTGTTGCCAAATGCACCCACCCACACACAGGTAGGTGGCCCACATAGAAAAAATGGTTCGCTGTGTGATGACATTGGGAATTTCTGGAACTGCAGTTCCCTGTCTCAATAATAATCTGTCTTGCTTCTTCCATACCTCCAGGCCCAGTACCAGGGCTCTATTCTCAATCTGTTCCGGGTACTTGCAGACTAAGCCAAATTGAACCAGCTTTGCCTGTACTCTTGTTGATAATGTGATATCTTCATTGATGTAGATGTTGCTTTTTTGACTGCTTTTTCCTGAGACAGTACAGTGCTGATGACAGTCTTCATTATTTGGGGTGCCACATTTAGCCTGAAGCCTAGTATGGTTAGGCAGTACGTTCTGCCAGTAAACATCACAGTCTGAAATGGCCAGAATGATTCATTGACCCTAATCTGCAGATAGACTTTATGAAGATCTAGAAGGGACATATATGATCCCTGTTGATGCCATTCTCACAGTTTGCTGGCACACACATCGGCAATGACTGTAAAAGCATCAACATGTTGGTTAAGCTCTCAGTAATCCAGCACCCACACCTTTTTCTTGTTCTGCTGAACCACAGCCATCAAAGGAATCAAACCCTTAGAAGAACCTAGTTTGTGTGGTGGGTATGGAATCAACCAGCCATCCTCTATCCAGGCATGAAGCTCCCGCTTGTACACAGGCCTGATATGATCAGGCACACAGTATTCCGCAGCTTTGGTGGTTCCTTGTCCTGTCCACTTCCATGAGGCAGTTCATGTCTTCTGGTGTTGGTTAAATTTGACACTGAAGTCAGACTGGTCTATCTTCAGTTCCACACACACAGAAGTTGCCTTCTGAAAAACTGCACAATTCCAGTGCACATGATGTGGATACTGCCCAACAACTACTGAATATCGTTTGGGAAGAGCCTGGATCAAAGAGCACTGAATGCAGTGATCCATTGACATATACATAACTGACAAGCAGTGTCTCTTCTAGATGTTTGGGGAAGAGACTGACCCTGATGTCTTGTCCTTGGACTCATTTCCTGAGCAATCCTGAATGATGTGTCCCTTCTGGTTGCATTGGTAGCAGCAGATGCATGCACTTTGACTCTTGCATTCTCTGGCCAAGTGGCCTTGGTACCTATTACAGGTCGTCCCCACATTGATCCTTGTAGTAGACTGTGTGGCTATAATGACCAGCTCTTCTGAAATAAAGCTCTCTCTTATAATGGTTTGGACATGGTCCAACAACTGGTCCAGTGGCAACGTGTCTATGCTGGAGTTGGTTTGCAACAATTCCTTAACACACAGTGGGAGCCCAGCCAGGAATGCATATGCCATTGCTCTTTCAGGCAGCCCTCCAAACAATCACACCAGCTTTTGTAATGCTGCCATGTAAACAGCTACTTTTTCTCCTGGGTGTAGCATCCATGCCATGAATTGTTCATAGGTTCCTGAGGGGGGCAATGCAAACACCTTGAAAAGTATGGCCTTTATTCTTGTCAGGTTGTCTTTTTCAGTCTCCTCCAACTGTTGGTACATATTAAATGTGCCTCCAGCCAATTGTAATGGAATGACTCTTCACCCTATTCAAATGGTAAATTAATTCCACTTTCTCTACATCAAATTCTGGAATGAGCATCAAATCAAATTTAGCTTCTGCCATTGTCCATCAAATGCTGAAATAGCTTGTAAATAGGTTGGTAACAATAATACTCTCTTGTGAGGATTGACACAGGGAATTTGTTTCAAATCTGCGACTCACAAATTCCAACACTGCAATCTGCCACACTAGACACCTGCTTCCCATGGTCTATT